AGCCAGGTTCTGGGTTTCCTGTTCACAGAGAGACCAGTTCCAGAAATAAGAACGCAAAAGCAAAGGAACCTTTATTGCTAGCTCAAGCTAGGGTCCAAGCCTCATCCAATTCAGTGGAGTCTTGACCAGAACCCCAACTCTAGTCCCAGGGAACATTATATGGCATATGGTTACATAAGCAACGCTGTTGGTTTTCCCAAGAATCGAGACAAGCCGTCACAAGTCTGTGAGCTAATTGGTCATGCCCACCTGCTATGCCCAGAGATATCCTTATTATCACAGGACTGGCTAGAGGCGTCTAGGGGATTTCCAGCTTCAGTCAAGGACAGTCTCAGGGAATTCTTTGGGGGGCGGGGACAGAAACTTAGGCCTATTGCGTGTTTAGCTGAAGTGCAGCCTGTTATGGCGCATATGAGGTTCTTTCTTGGCCTCACATTAGGCCTCACAGCCCCAAAACCAATTAATCAAAACACCAATTTAGAAACTCAGCTCAAAGACACCTGCATTGATCAGGGAGGGTGGTGACCCTTCCAGGACCCTTGTCTTCCTAGAACAACAACAAGAGTTTTCTCCTCATCATGGAAACCTGGGGGATTGGAGAGAGTCTCTAAGCCCCTCTAGTGGTATTGCTCGGGGCTGAGACCATCGCCTGGGGGAGTTGAAGCATGCAGAGAGATGAGCCAGAGGTGCTTTATTACATGTCCACTCTGAGTGACAGGAATGGGTGGTTCCCTTGTGCTTGGTGGAATTCGGAGTGCCCAGTCGATGACTGTGTTCCTGGAAGTGTGACCTTCACGTACCAAGAACAAATTTCATGTGTGTGGTGTGGGAAGGATGGTTCCGAATGTTGCCAAGCTGGGACCCTCAGCCTTGGGGAGGAGAGAGGTCAAGGACAGGTCAAAGTCAAACTTTCCATGCCACTTCAAGACAGGAAGACTATTCCAGAGGGGTGCAGCAATGGAAGAGCTTCCACACTGGTGGAGAGCGAGAGCTGTTCTAAACGTCACAAGGATGACAAGTGACAATTGATACTCAAAGAATAGGGGCGTGTGGGCTGTGTGGGACAAGGGTGGTGGTGGGGATGAAAATTTTTTCGTGGATGGAGAATTTCTCATCAGGGATGGGGGGATTCTAATGATGCCAACGGAAGTCAAGCTCATTTTTCTAAATGAAGGCCCTGGGGACCAAGTGTGGATCATTCCCAAAACAGTGATTGAAAGCCCCCAATGGAGGGGGCTGGAGCGGTAGCACAGCAGGGAGGGCGTTTGCCTTGCACGTGGCCGACCCAAGTTTGATTCCCAGCATCCCATAGAGTCCCCCTAGCACAGCCAGGACTAATTCCTGAGTGCAGAGCCAGGAGTAAGCCCTGAGCATCGCTGGGTGTGACCCAAAAAAGAAAAAAAAAAAGCAAGCTCCCAGAGGAGAGTGTCTACCTGCGGGAAGTGAGTTTGGTGAAAACAGAGGGTGGCTGGCCATTGGCACATTGCTGTAAGGTCCAGGTCTGGCCTCAAGTAGTTCCCTGTCCAGGACACCCAATCTGGTTCGCATCTGAGTCTTGAACTCTGGTTGTCCTTAACTAAGAATTGGGTTCGGGAATTGGGTCTGGGGGGCTCGGGAAACCTTTCTGTTTTAAGACATCTCAGTGGGACTCCTCCACTGGTCTATTATCCCTTTTCTTACTGCAACTTCCTCTTCCAGTTGATGCTGGTTGGTAACTTGCTCTGCCTGGGTGAGGGAAGGGATTCATGGACGCTGGGGGTTCAGTTCCTCTCCAGACTATGTCCTCGAGAACATGGCCAGCTCCATTGTTTTCCAGTGATGTCTCATTTCCTCATGTCTAAATCTAGACCCCCTCTCCTCTCTGAGTGCCTCTGGAATTTGTTCACATCCGGGGAAAAGTGCTCATATCCGAGCATGGAGGACCATCTGGTGCAAAGCAGGGTTCACCCGTCCTTGACCAGGGTCTTGCCCAGGCAGCTGTGGCTCTTTGAGCCTGCGGCATCGGGGAACCAGGATTAGACTCAGGAGTGCTGGAAGCTCCTGCTTGTAGAGAGGATTTTCCTAACCCCAGCTGCTGTGGGATCAGCCCCCATGCCAGTGTGAGGCTGGAAAACCACCACTAACCCGCTGAGTCACTTCTCCAGGGAACTTGTCTCTGCCTTAGCGCCTCCACCACAGACTTCAAGGGGTGAAACAGGAGAGGGGACCTGGGGAGAGCAGCATGGATTGGGGGAAGGGGCTCACTTTGGCCTCTTGGGGACCACACCCAGCCCTTCTTTTAGCAGTTCTGGGAAGCAGCAACTTGTGTGTGGGTCAGTGAAATTTGGGAGGATGTGGGGGTCCCTTCCGGGGCCTCTGGGCAATTTCGAATGGTTCATCTTTCCAGTGGCTGAGTTCACTAGCTTGCCCCTGAATTCTGCAGGGAGGAAATTCAGGGCTGGTGGAGACGCTCCTTGTCCTTGCCCTGATGGTCAGCTGAGCCCTGGGCTCTCTTGTGCTTCACAACAGCCTGGTGGCAAGGGAGGAGGTTGAGGAAACCCAAATGTAGGTTCTGCCCCACGATCACAGGGAAAATCCAGCATTCCCAGCAGGGCTGATTCCCCTAAAGGGAAGTGGGCAATATCTGACGGCCTCTGGGAGTCTTCCCAGGTGGGGAAGTAGGTGCTACTGGCAGCAGATGGTAGGGGATACTGCTAGGATGGACCCTGCTGTGCATTTGAAGGTTCCCCTAAGCAAAGACACTTCAAGACCCCAAGCGTCAATAGTGCTGGGTAGAAAATCCTCACAGACACGAGGGCTTCATTTCTCCTTCTGTAAAATGGAGAGTCTGCCTACTTCAGTGCTGTGCAAGTCGAGTCACAACTGGGTCGGAGACGTTCTGTGATGGTGCCGTCATCTCTGATATGGAAGAAAGATGAAGACTCAGAGCAGTTCCCAAGGTCTCTGCATGCATACACGCACACATGCACACAGATACGCTTGCACACAGATACTCATGCACACAGACCCACACAAAGAGTCGTGCACACATACAGGCATGCACAGACACAGGTCTGTTTGCACACAGGCAGGAACACACAGAGGCACACAACACAGAGGTACACATGCACACAGACACACACAGGCATGCACACACACAGGCATGCACGCACACAAGCATACACACACAGGGTCCGCATAAGGTCATATACCCTCAAAGGCATGCACGCATACAGATACAAATGCACACAGGCATGCACACACAGAAAGACACATGCACACACACAGGGATGCACACACACAGGCAAGTCGCATAGAGTCACACACACACAGAGGCACACATGCACACAAACATGCAGGCACACGGGGCCCACTGCTGCCGTTGGAAATGGGCTGGGGACCAGCACCTTGTGCTTTTGTTCTGCTTTTTGGGCGCAACCGTCTGAAGGCCACTTGTGCTTTGAGGAGCTCCTGCCAGAGTGTGTTTTCCTGAGTGCAGACCTCCCCGGGGCATACCCTTAGAAATCCCCTCCCCGCCGCAGTGTGGATTGGCAGCTGTTAGGGTGGCCCCAAGTAGCCCAGGCCTGGGGTTCCAGTCCTCCTTGCAGGTCAGTTCTCCTGACTGTTCCTGTTCCAGCCACCCAGAGCACAGCTCACAGGCTGCCTGCTCGGTCCTCACATGGACCTCCTGGGACCACAGCCCTTTCAAGAACCATCAGCTCTGGCATCACTTGCCAGCTGTGACAATGAGCAAGTGACCCTGAGTGCCGGCCACCTCTGTGGGCCTCCTCCCATGGTCTCTAAGGGCAGGCTGACTTCATGACTGACTTCAAAAGAGTCGGTCGGTTCCGGCTGGTCTGGGAGATGGCTCAAAGGGTGGGAGAATTTGCTTCGAAAGTTGGGAGGCCTGGGTTTGATCCCTGGCGCTGCTTGCTCCCAATACCCAACACCTCCAGGAGTGGCCCCCAAGCACTGCTGGGTGTCCCCCCTCCTCAGAGAGAGAGAGAGAGAGAGAGAGAGAGAGTCAGGTGGAGGTCGATGGTCGGGTGGAGAATATCCTACAGCACTGGGTACCACTGCACTGTAGCACCGTCCTCCTGTTGTTCATCGATTTTGCTAGAGCGGGCCCAGTAACGTCTCCATTGTGAGACTTGTTGTTACTGTGTTTGGCATATCGAATATGTCACGGGTAGCTTGCCAGGCTTTGCCGTGCGGACGAGATAGTCTCAGTAGTTTGTCAGGCTCTCCGAGACGGGCGGAGGAATCGAGCCTGGCTCAGCTGGGCCAGCCATGTGCAAGGCAAATGCCCTATCACTGTACTATTGCTCCAGCCCACAGCACTGGGTATGTGGGGTAATGTCAGATTGTTCTAGTTCCTTCTCACTGGACTTCTTCCTTTGCGCACTTGAGCTCTGTCTTCCAGGCGACCGACCCGGTGCAGGCATCTTGACCTCCTGGGAAGCTTTGAAAAGCAATGCTCCCAACTACAGAGCAGCAGTTACACCCACAGGGTCCTCCCGGACAGCCTGTAGGGCCTCACGCTCAGAGATTCCTCTCCTGCACACAGGAGGCAGCTGAAAAGGGAGCATTCTGGCTGAGCTACCTGGTGAGGTTGGAGGCTGAAATGCACACCGCCCACCCATCTGCTCATAGGATGGGGGTGGAGTGGGGGAGAATCAGACCTGGTGTGATCCATGAGATGAGACCTGGGGTCACCTGCAAATCCCGGTCTCTTGGACTCATTGTCCCTACACAGTAGGCAGGCAGCAGAGAGTGAAAGTATCCATGTTCTAGCACTTGGGTTCACTCCAGGAACTGGTCGCAAATAGTTTGGCATCAGCCACTGAAGACACCCCGGGAAGGGATTTGGTCTTTGGTCCACAGCCAATGCCAAGGGCGCGGAGGACTCCCAGGAGATCAGCAAAGTGGAGGCTGGAGTCAGGCTGTCCCATTAGCTTGTTTTTCCACAGTTTGTTGTGGAAAATTGCAAACATCCACCAGGGGGGAGATGGCAGTGCCCATCTCTGTGCCCACATTCACAATGGTGCCATAATGGATCTTTATTATTTATTGCGACCTTTGCCTCCCTGGATCCCCTCTCTCAGCTAGCGAGTTTGGTTGTCTCTCCTTTTTGCCCAGTTCTTGGTTGTCAAGGAGCTTGCTCCACACTGAGGTTTGCCTGCTGCAAAACTGCTCTTGGTGAAAAGGCAAAGCATTTAGTTGCCACTCTTTGGCAAGCAAGACACAATCGCTTGAACTTGAGTGACACCTGTCCCCTCGCCTTTCCCATTCCTGAAGTATTGGCTTGAAGCTCCATCATGAGGGTCTGTGGACAGGGGGTGGCCTGTGGGTGTTTCCTGGGGTCCCTGAGCTGCTGAAAGACCCCCGTTCTTGCCGCTGTTTGTAGAACATGGTGGTTATTTACAACTGTGACCCTCACTGCAACTCTCACCACCAAAAAGTGCCCTTTCTGGTTCAACCTTGCTGGTGGGTGGGTGGGTGCGTGGGTGGGTAGGGGTGCTAGGAGGTAGACGTCCCCCAGAAGCCTGGGGTTCAGCTTGGGTCCCCACTTGGGGATCCCTCCTCTCTGACCTCTGCCCTGCTGCACCCAGGTGACCTGTCCATTAATTTTGTTGGTGACCCGCCACCATGGCCACAGCTGTCATAGAAACAAATCTTTCCAAGCTTCCCTGGGCTTAGAGTTCTTCCTGTGCCCCCTCTCTGGTTTGTCTGAGGCGCCCACACTTCACTCACCTCCTAGGAAAAGATTTAATTCTGTGTTTACGATGAGTTTCATTTCCACTAGGATTGGCTGCCCCCACTTCTTTAGGAACCCAAAGGCATCCCCCCGGGAGGGCCCCCTTATCCCCCATCTGTCTTCACGGGCTTCATCTTCCCTCTTCCATCAGTGTCTCAGTCTCCAGGGCTTAGGGTCAGCTTCGATGCTGTCCCTCACCTTCTTCATGCGATGTTGTCGCTCAGGTATCTTGGAACACCCAAGGACCCACCCTCAGGGACTAGCTGGGAATTGGTCCAGTTTCATAATGCCACAAAGGATTTTTGTTTGTTGTTTTTCTCTTTTGTGCTGATGGCATCCGCCTCGTCTCAGTGTTTGCTCTTGCACCCAGATCCCTGTCAGAGATGGCATTGCCACCTGTGTGGCTGAGGGAGCATCTCTCTAAAGGAACCGTGGGTTATTTATTAAATCCTTAGTAAGTTTCTCTGCTGGTGTGGCAAATTCATTTTTATTGTTTTGGGGACATACCCGGCGATGCTCGGGGGTTCCTCCTGACTCTACACTCAGGAATTACTCCCGAGTGCTCTGGGGACCATATGGCATGCCAGGGATCAAACCCGTCGGGACAGCCACATGCAAGGCAAATACTCTACTCATTGTACTATTACTCCGGTCCTCGAGTGGGAACTTTCCAGAGAATTATATTTAATTGGCTGAGGTGGGGCTCTTGAGTTGACATTTTTTTTGGAGGGGGTTACACCTGGAAGTGCACTGGGGTCACTCGTGGGAGTGCTTATGGGGTCATGTGGGTCTGAGCATTGAATCTAGGACTCCAAATTGCAAAGCATCTATTCCAGCCCATTGATCTGTCTTCCCGTCCCTGGATCCACATTTTATTATTTATCATTCTCACAATGATGATAGTGATGATGTTGATGATGATGGTTTGGGGGTCACACCTGATGGTACTCAGGACTTACTCCTGACTCTGCGCTCGGGGAGCACTCCTGGCGGAGCTCAAAGGACCATATGGGGTGCTGGGAATCAGATCAAAGTCAGCCACATGCAAGGCAAGCACCATCACCCAGGTGCTTGCTCCCTGGCCCCCAATCCCTGCATTATTCAGGGATTCTGGTTTGAGCTGTCCTAAAACAGAACTTTAAATGTCACTCTTTGGTGCCTGCCAGCAGTAATTCATATTATCACTTTTGTTTGCTGTTTTATAATCTGCTCAATCTCTGCTGCAGCTTGGTCATATCTTTGGCATGGTTTCCCCGGCTCTCCAACAGTAGAACATTTCTAGAGAAACTTTGGTAAAATGAGATGCTATAAAATATAGAAGCAACTACCGCTAATATATGGACTTTTTTCTCTTAGTGTTCTTGACCCTGGAAAACAAGGTCGCAAATCATATCAAACTGCACATACCACCTAAAAGGACACACACAGAAAGGAAAAGCACCAGGGTTAGGGTGAACAAATTCTCCCCAGCCTGGAGAATTTGTTCTGGGGCAATCGTAGGATGGGGCCACTCCTGAAGCTCTTGAACAGAGCCTGCAAATCCTAACCTCGGCACTCTGTGGCCATCGGAGTGAAAAACCTCTTTTGAATTTCTTTGTGTTACCAAAAACAGGGGCCAGAATAGCATTTCCTGAACGTGAATGAAGTGATGTGAATTTACAAAACATGGGGACACCTAGTCCTAAATAGTAAGCTCCCAAAGGAACAGGTCATATTTTGGCATTTCTTTCTTGTGAGAAATCAGAGATTTCAAGAGGTTTCTGCATCCAACAGGCAACCAAGAACAATTTCTAGAGGAATGGGAAGGTGAGCCCGTAAGTGAGATTTTTTAAGGAGATTTCATTGCCCATTAGCTAAGTAGTGTGTGTGTTTCTGTGTGCGCGCACCCCATGCGCGTGTGTGTGTGTTGTGTGTGTTTGCCTGTGTATGTGTGTGTGTGGGAGGGGTGTTTCCCCTTAGATAAAATCTAGAGAAGATGGCTATAAATAAATATATTAAATTTGTGTGTGTGTATGGGGGGATCATTGCCCCTCTTGCCTCTTCTCTTTCAGGGGACTTCCAAAATGGCCAGAGAGTGAGTCTCTCCGTGTACCTGGGTGAATTTTTTGACCTTCGTTTATTTGTCAATGGAACCATCCTGCAGGGTGACCAAATGTAAGTCAGAAACTCTGCGTGTCTGGACCAGAAAGGACCCCCTCCTCCTTTCAGCCCAAGAAGCTGGGATGCAAAGAGGGAGTGAAAATGCCTAGAAAGGGGCTGGTGCGATAGCACAGCGGGGAGGGCGTTTGCCTTGCACGCGGCCAACCCAGGTTCGATCCCCAGCATCCCATAGGGTCCCGTGAGCACCGCCAGGAGTAATTCCTGAGTGCATGAGGCAGGAGTAGCCCCTGTGAATCACCGGGTGTGACCCAAAAAAGCAAAAAAAAAAAATGCCTAGAGAGGGCTGGAGCAATAGCACAGCATGGAGGGCATTTACCTTGCACGTGGCCGACGACGCTGGTTCGATTCCCAGCATCCCATATGGTCCCCTGAGCACCGCCAGGGGTAATTCCTGAGTGCAGAGCCAGGAGTAACCCCTGTGCATTGCCGGATGTGACCCCCCCCAAAAAAAAAGAAAAGAAAAGAAAAGAAAAGAAAAGAAAAGAAAAGAAAAGAAAAGAAAATGCCTAGAGAGGGCTAGCAGGGCTGGGAGTAGAACAAAGCTTCCAGGCTCCTCTTCAGGGGGTTTGGTACTTTGCACCGAAGTCTGAACACTGCAGCTTGGGGTGTAGTGGCTGAAAGGTGGTGGCGGAGGTGGGGGTGTTTGTGTGTGGCATCCATCACCCGTGGGAGAAGCCCACTTCCTGCGTGCATCCCCGTCTCTCTAGTGTCTCCATGCCCTACGCCTCCAAAGGGCTGTACGTGGAAAGGGAGGCTGGCTACTACAAGCTGGCCAGCGAGGCCTACGGCTTTGCGGCCAGAATCGACGGCAACGGCCAGTTCCAGGTGCTGCTGTCTGACCGACACTTCAACGCGACCTGCGGGCTGTGTGGCAACTTCAACACGTTTGCCGAGGATGACTTCAGGACTCAAGAGGGTAAACTTTTCTGGAAGGCTGTTCCCCACGGTGCCAGAATTAGAGAGAGGGCAGAGGCAAGACTCAGACTAGGGGCTACTGCTATGAACAGGGGTGGACCCATACTTCTTCAAGGCCTGCTTTCAATTTTTCTTTTGTGTGTGTATGGTGGGGGGTTGATTTCCAAGTGGTGGTCTTTAGATACAGGGTTTAGTGTGGACCTATGTTTTAGTTTCTCTGGGAGTGCATCAAGGGATAGGATTTCTGGGGGGCATGACAAAGGCTGGGTTTAATCTTATTAAGTCTTCTGGGATGGAGCAATAACACAGCGGGGAGGGTGATTGCCTTGCACGCGGTCAACCTGGCTTCGATTCCCAGCATCCCATATGGTCCCCTGAGCACCACCAGGAGTAATTCCTGAGTGCATGAGCCAGAAGTAACCCCTGTGCATCGCTGGGTGTGACCCAAAAAACAAAAAAATATTATTAAGTCTTCTTAAAATAATATTTTTGAGTTTGGGAGCTACGCCCAGCAGTACTCATGGGCTATTCCTGGCTCTGTGTTTGGGAATGAACTCTGGTACTACCAGTGATCAAACCGGGGCTGACCATGTCCATGACAAGGGTCATAACCCTGTAACCCCTGGAGAGTACTATCCCTCCAGCCCCCGGATTTTAATGAATTAAGTATTTTTGTTTTTAATTAATGAAACCAGTCCTTAGCCGGTGGGGCTAAGGACTGCACCCAATAGTGTTCTTTGGTAGCTCCTAGTCTCCCATGAAGGCAATTAGCAAATTCTTCAAGTCAGAATATGGTTGCTGGAGCCAGAGCAGTAGCACAGTGGGTAGGGCGTTTGCCTTGCATGAGGCCAACCTGAGTTCGAATCCCAGCATCCCATAGAGTCCCCTGCGCACCACGAGGAGTAATTCCTGAGTGCAGAGCCAGGAGTAGCTCCTGTGCATCACTGGGTATGACTCAAAAAGAAAAACAAAAAACCAAACAAAAGGACAGAATATGGTTGTTTTTCCCCCAACATCAATGGCTTATTAGCACGTCCTTACTTGAGTCTGTCTCCTACTTCACTTAATACCACTTCAATTCTCTCAAATCTACAGTTTGATATTCTGCCCATGATTTTTCTTTGTATTCCATTGACTGCATTTATAATTTTAGAAAATCTGACTTCTTTTATTATTATTTTTTGACTGCTCTTTTATCAATTAATTTTTATATATTGATTATTGTTTGTTTAGTTTGGGGGCCACACCTAGCAGTGCTCAAGGATTACTCCTGATTCTGCATTCAGGAATTATTCCTGGCGGTGCTCAGGGGACCATATGGGATGCTGGGAATAGAACTCAGGTTGGCTGCATGCAAGGCAAACACCCCACCCACTGTACCATTGTCCTCATCAATTTCATTTAAAAATAAATTTGGAATATATTGGTCTTATAATATTTTTATTATAAAAAATTTATTGTCTGAAGTTTTCAGAGCTCCAATCCTACTGTTTTTATGTCATTTGACTCTTGCTTATACTGAATTGCTTCCTTCGTTTCATAATTTTGTACTGAAAGTTCATCTTTATTTATTTATTTACTAAATGTTATTTTATTCATTTTTAGTGAAGTAAGGTAGCTTTTATTGAACCTTATTTAGAGAGATGTGAAGGGAGGAAGAGGGAGAAGTTTGTTTCCCTGAGAAAACACAGGCTTCTCTGTAGTGGAAATAAGTATAGAAACATCAAGACAAGCAAGCGAGATATATGTTCAAGGGAGAACCTGGACTTGGAAAGCAAGACTGATGAAATGAGTTACATAATAAATTTTTAAAGAAATTTTGCATAGTTTTGAAAACTCATCTTTAAAAGGATTTTTATGTCAACTTATTAGCATACCGTTCTGGGAATTAGGAAGTGAATGCATCTTTGGGGGGGATTCCCCCCTGGTCTTTATTTATTGATTTGGCTTACCACACCTGAGATATCAGCTAATTATATTTCCAAGGTCATGCTTCCCCCAACCTCCCAGATATGATTTATTTCCCAAGTACCTTTATTGATCTTGAAGTAAGTTTGGCTAGTCCAGACTTAGCAATGCAAAAGACTGTCTTACACTCCACTGTCTCCCTTTGCAATGAAGATGGAGCCGTGTTAGCAGGCCCCAGTGGCCTTTATGCATCGTTGTGAGCAGTTGCTAAGCACAGTGGCTCTGTAGACTGTCACACATGCAGTGACAGCACAGAGACAGCAGTGACTGGGCATTGAGGTTCCATTTTATCTTACCTCCTCACGCCCTTACCTTTATACCACAAACATACTTTAGGTATCTACGATCCCAGAGAACAAAGTAGAGAGAGATGAGCGCTAGGGCCTCTGCCTTGAATTTAGGAGTTTGAATGGGCTGAGGTGTGAACAGAAGCAAAGAGAATACCAACACCAAAGAGGGTAAGAGTTTTGGGGCTGGAGCGATAGCACAGCTGGTAGGGCGTTTGCCTTGCACACATCCGACCCGGGTTCGATTCCCAGCATCCCATATGGTCCCCTGAGCACTGCCAGGAGAAATTCCTGAGCAGAGCCAGGAGTTAACCCCTGAGCATCGCCAGGTGTGACCCAAAAAGCAAAAAAAAAAAAACAAAAAACCCAAAACAAACCAAAAGAGGATAAGACATTTGATCGAGGGATGGTCAGGAGATTAAGGAAATACAGAGATGGGACTTATTCAACCCCTTCTGGGATATTGTGGGTGGGGGAGGGGTGGCAGAGAGTAATACTTGTGATGGGCTTCCAGTAGGAAGTGGTCCTGGAGTTTCTTCTTCGAGAATGCTGGGAGTTAGTCAAGGCAATGAGAGGTGGACATTATGCATGGAGGGAGGAAGGAAAACCAAGGCAGGGACAGGGGGCAATGGTTGGGCAGGGTCCAGAGGGTCTTTTACCTCCATCCCTCATCAAACATAGACTGCTCCAATGCCCACACCCGTGGCACTGGGCTGAGTACGGCACAAAGGGTTCTCCCCATCCCTAGTACCTAAGGACCAAATCCAATGCAAGCCTGATTCGGTGGATGCAAGACCCCAAGCTCTGCTCTGAATCCTGGCATAAGCGTGGCTTGACTTTCTTGACACTTTACAGGGACCCTGACCTCAGACCCGTATGACTTTGCCAACTCCTGGGCCATGAGCAGTGGAGAACGGTGCAAACGGACATCCCCTCCCCGTGGCCCCTGCAACGTCTCCTCTGAGGAAGTGCAAAAGGTGGGTGCAACCCGGAAGGGGGTCTGGGAGGTGAGACTTCTGGAATTCAGATGCAGAACTTGGCCATAGCAGTGGACAATCCTGCCAGAGAGTCCTCCTGGCTGTCTGGAGGGTCAGTGGACCCCCTTCTCTCCCGAATCAACTGTCGCTAGAATTCTAATAGTATCATGGGCTCTCCTAAGTCTAAAAACGGGTCTGGTCCAATGAATAGGCCCCGAGAGGATTGTTCAATTCTGTTTTGTATTTCAACACCCTACTTATTCCCCAACATTGCTATCACCACCTGCCACCCGTCCGAAACGCTGTCAATAGAAACCATTCCATTTCACATGCTTAATAGGTGCTTGTGACCAAGCACATGTAGGTGCGCAAACAGAAGAGGGAGGGCGGGGGATGGGCCTGGAGCTACCATCTTGGATTTTATCATTTTCTGTGCTGGGGGTAGTCAGCTGGCTCAAACTTCTAACAAAGGAATGCATTTTTGCAGTTCGGGAAGTCTAAAGTCACGTTTGGTTTTCCCTGAGCAACTGAGTACTCACAACTGCTGTGGTACTCACTTATCTATCAGTCACAGTGCCCATTGCCCTTTTGTTGTAGGGTTCACCCGCTGGGGTGTCGTAGAAATATCTTGTGGCACCAGGGGTCAGAGGCTGAACTCTAGAACATTCCCTTGTGAACCACCAAGCTCTTCCTCTGAGCCCCTTCTTGTGCTATTTCTTCCTGCAAGAATTTGGACTCAGGGGCAGAAATGATAGTACAGCAGGTAAAGAACTTTGCCTTGACGCGGTCAACCTAGGTTCAATCCCTGGCATCCCATATGGTTCCTCAAGTACCGTAGGGGGTGAGTCCTGTGTTCTGAGGCAGGAGTAACCCCTGAGCATTGCAGGTTGTGGCCCCAAAGTAGCAACAACAAATCCCTCAAAAACCAAACCAAACCAAACAAAACAAACAAACAAACAAAAAATTTGGACTCTATGATTCTTTGGCTGGGGGATGGGAGGTGGGGGGTGTCACTCACACTCAGCAGTGCTCAGGACTTATTCTTGGCTCTGTGTTCAAGAATCACTCTTGGGGGGTGGGAGGATCCCCAGTTCATAAGCCAGGAATTGAATCTTGGTTGTATGCAAAGCAAGAGCCCTACCCACTGTACTATAGCTCTGGCCCCGAATTCTGTCATTCTTCCCCATCTTTATTTAAATACTGGGGTTTACAAAGGTTTTTTTTTCTGATGATTTGTTATAGGCATTCGATATTTCAACACCAATCCCACTGATTCGTAAACTTCCTTTCAGCTCACTGAAACAATGTGTTTCTTTGGGTTGGGCTAGAGAGACTGTACACAATAGGTCTCAAATATTTGATAAACCTATCAAATAGTATATAAACCGTATATAATAGGTCTCAAATATTTGATTGACCTATCAAGTAGTATTACCGCATGCTGGATAGTATTATTTACCTAGGGATTGGGATACCTCCCTAATATCCCCAAATTTTTTACTTCTAGTAATCTGACTTCCTGAATCTGCATCTAAGTAGAGAAACTCCAGCCCTCTCCTGTTCGAGCAAAATCTCTCTCTTAAATACACATTTCCCCAACCTTTACTTTATTTATTTATTTTGCTTTTTTTGGGTCACACCCGGCGATGCTCAGGGGTTACTCCTGGCTCATGCACTCAGGAATCACTCCTGGCGGTGCTCGGGGGACCATATGGGATGCTGGGAATCGAACCTGTAATGGCCATGTTGGCTGCGTGCAAGGCAAACACCCTACTCGCTGTGCTATCGCTCCAGCCCCCAACCTTTCCTTTAACCTGAGGAAACTTGACTCTCTGCTGGCTTCTCATTCAGAATCCTTTCCATTTTCACCCAGCTCATTTGCTCTTTGAAGCCAGAGGTATGTCAGACCTGGGAAGATATTCTGGATGGATCAGAAACCATCGCTTGTAACTCATGAGTGAGAACCTCCTAATGCCTTTCTCTCTGGGGTTCCCACTGTTCTCATGGCGTTCAGTCTTCCGGTTTGCCCACAGACATCTGTGTCACTTGGCGCCCGGCCCAGTCCTAGCACTGACCAGGCAGACCAGAGTTTAACCACGTCTCCCCCTTCTTCCCACCCCTCCTCCCTGCCCCTGGCCAAGAAGAGGGGTCAATATCATGAGGGGTGCTTCCTCTTCTTACTGGAGAACTCTGAAATTGCTGAAGCTTGCTCATTCTCAAGCTTATCCTGTCCCTGGCACAGGGTAAAAGGTTGGGGCTTGGGTCCGGGCCACTTATTAGCTTTGTGTCACTAAGCCTCCATTTCTACATGTGAACAATGCAGAGGAATAGTATGCACAGCTTGTGGAGGCATGGTAGTGGGGTAGTGACCAGTCTGATAGCCTCAATGGAGACAGCATCGCTAGAATGGCAGTGATTATTCTTTTTATTTAGAGGTGGCATTGTCTAACATGGGTCACTCCCGGCTCTGTGCTCTGGGACTGCTCCTGGCAGGGGAACATGTGTCGCCAGAAATGGAACGTGGGTCTCCTGCATGCCGAGCACGTGTTCAGCCCGGACCCATCTCTCTGGCCCTGTTATTTTTATTCTTGCTGACTCCTGGATCTTGTTGGAGTGTCTGAGCGTGGGTGTGGGAAGGAGGCCCAGCAAACACAGTACTTGAAGCCCAGCTTCCCCAATCCATTCTCTTCCTCCTTCTCCTCTTGCTCCTCAAAGAGCAAGTGGCCCGGACCCAAGCCCCAACCCTGCAATGGAATGCAGTGGAAACCCATTTTCTTCCAGGGAGCAGAGGTCATGAGGAACTGGGGTACACTACAACCCCCTACCCCCTTTCACAGCCACACGCTTATGGTGGACCTGGGACAGAGGTCAACTTTAGGAGGACTTCAGATCATGTTTCTGATGCTGTTCCCTGCAAGAGGAGGGAGTTTGTCTCATTTCTTTGTTTCCAGTCCAGTGGGTGGCTGGTGGGCCATTCTTGGTTGTCTTCAATGTCCCCGAGGCTGCGGTGACAGTAAAGAAAGGCTCTTCAGGGTCTGGAGCTATAGCACAGTGGGTAGGGTGTTTGCCTTGCGCGCTGTGGACCCAGGTTCAATTCCCAGCATTCCATATGGTCCCCCCCAGCACTGCCAGGAGTAACCCCCGTGCATCGCAGGGTGTGATCCAAAAAGAAAAAAAAAAGAAAAAAGAAAGGTGCTTCAGGAGGTGCAATAGTGGGGGTGGGGTGTGTCTGCAGCTCTGAGACCTTTCTTTGAGGATCAAGGCTTTGTCTTCCTGTATAGGGCAGCCCAGTTAGTGCTGGGCCCGTGTCTGCCCTGCCCCCTCCAGCACAAAGCCTAGCTCTCATTTATCCCTAAGAAGGGGGAGGCGAAGACAGGTTTTGCAAAACAGTGAACCCGATACTAGGAGGCCTCCAGAAGGCAGAGGGAGATTCGGGCACTGCAACCGCATCCCTTGAAGAGAAAGAGGCGGGAAGAGAATCCTCGAGAAGCTGGGTTAGTCTCCTGGGGGGGCCTTGGGGAGGGCTCCAGCCGCAGTCTCGCTACTCACTTTGTCCCCTGGGCGCCTAACGTCAACCCTAACCAGTGTCCTGGGAGCATCTTAAGAAACTGGTTACCTAGTTCTTAGAGATGGGCCGGGTCCCTAAGCTCACGGGCTCACTCCCCAAGGCCCCCGGGGCTTGCAGCCCAGAACCGTTTCGAGTTGTTTACCGAGAGCAGAAGCCCGGCATGGTCTCAGCCAATCAGGTTGCGTTTGCGCCCGACCGGCGCGCTCTCATTGGCTGGATCGCGCGGGGCGGCCTCCCCGGGGAAGTGATTAATCCGGGCTCTGGTTTAGCGCTCTGCGCTTAGGCTGGGTCCCAGTGCAACCCCTCCACCCACTCACCCCCCCAGTTTCAGAAGTTGCCTGTTTGGTGGTGGCCCCAAGGGCAACGGACAGTGGCCGAGGGCGTTCGATGATTTCTGCGGGGGAGACCTGATTGCCCGGAGAACTTTCCCTGCAAGTCGCCAGAAGGGATAGTCTCATTTCTGACTCTTGGCTGTATCTCCCTGGAACCCTCTTGATGGGAGCCAGGAGGTAGCCCATTCTAAAGGGCAGCTCATATTACTTACACCTAAGGGATGAATGTTTTCTTGCTGGGCCAAGAACGCCCACAGCCTCTCCACTGGGATTTAGAATCCAGGGTTTGGTGGCTTGCAAATTTGCAGCTCACCGGAACTTTTCAAAACACAAGACCCGGATTTCTGGAGCCCAGAGGAGAGATCCGGGTGCAGATGAGCAAAATAGAAAGCCCCAAGTTATGCTTGCTCAATAATTGATGTTGATTTGCTGGTCATTTTACTGCACAAGGAACATTTTAGAAAGATCCTTTAGGCCATTAGAAAACAATTTTTAAAAGAGAAAAAAAATTTAAATGTGAGGAATGTGAGTTGGGTTGAAACGTTATAAAAGGATCTTGTCTCTGTCCTCCTATACTGCCTGCCTACATGGAGTCCACAGTTCCAGGAGGTAGACATGGTTGTGTGGAGGGTTCTCTCGGATTAGGCAGAGACCCTCTTCCTTCAGATTGCCATACCCACCACGAAACAGCCTCATAAGCTTTAAAACACCCTGAGTGTGGAATGCTCAGAGCAGTGTCACAGCCTTGGGCTGGAGAATTAGACCCTGTTGACCAAGGCCAAGTATGCCTGAGAGTGGTCCCCCAGGGTCCCCTGTGCACTGCTTGGGAGGCTCCTGCCAAATAAAATAAGTGAAATGCTGGCATAATGCATAGCATCATGAATGATGACTACCACAGGGAGCCTAGCAGGGGGGTGGGGGAGAAGTGGGTTGTCCCACGGGCTCTGTATCCTGTGGAGCTTTGCTTGGTGTTCACAGACCTGAGGGTGGTGTCTAGCTCTGAGGAACTTTCATTTCACAAGGGACTTCTCAATCTGTTTTTCTTTTCTGTTTGTGTTCTGGCCATACTTGCAAGGTGCTCAAGGCATATTCCTGGCTGT